ATTTGGCCAACATATTGAAGGGACCAAAGTTCTGCCACCTAAGGCTGCTTTGGGGAACATTGATTTATGCTGTTTATTAAGAAATGAGACTCAGAAAGAACCTTTGACCCTCTCCCCTTTCCTGCCCAAGAGATTTGGAAAGAGAAACTGCTTCAGGAAGGAGATCTTAGGATGTCAACTCAGCTTAATTTGAACTGAGTTTGGTAAATAGAGGGCTTCAGAAGGGGGCCCATTAGCTAGACACCCCTTGTGTCCCATTGTTCCTGAGTCACCCAGCAGGGATTTTCCTGCCCTGTGTGCTCTTCCTCTACTTCCTCTGAATCGCACATTCTCACTTCTGAAATCTAATACCCTCATTCCCTTCCTCTTCCTCCTTTGTCCAAAACTGTCTTATATACCCAGTGTTATCTCACTGTCTTTGGAATTTTCATTCCCATGTGAATTCCCCATGCACATGTATTAAAACTTTGATTTTCTCCTGTTAATCTGTTAATTTGATTATCAGTCCAGCCAGAATTTAGAAGGTGGGAGGGAAAATATTAATATTTTTTTATCCCCCACAATATACTTAAAATTAACAGTAACAACACTTATGGAGACATATATATTCCAGGCACATTGCAAGGTGTTTTACATGCATTATCTCATTTCATCCATTCAGCAATCTTATGATGTAGAGAATATTATCTTTTTCACAGGTAAGAAAACTGAGGCCCAAAGAACTTAATTTAATTGTCCAAGGTCATGGATCTAGTGTGTGCCTAAGATAGGACTCGAACCCAGGTGTTTCTGACTCCCAAATCCCTTGCACTTAATTCATTTTACACAGTGTATGTCCCAGAATCATAACTATAAGAGATTAATTTATAGTTCATTTCCCAATCCTTTCTGGTCTCTGACACTTTTGTAAGGGATCTGTCAGGGCCTGCAAGGTGACATTCACTGAGGTTTTGTTTTTAAACGACCTCTTAGAGTCTCCTGCACCATCTACCACCTTTTATACACACTGTATTGTACTCAAGGTAATCACGACTAGTATTTATCTATAGGTAGAAAATGGGGTGTGATCCAAGTATGCGTTCACAAATTACACTTAGCGTTTATATCTATACACACCCCCTGTATTTAAATACATATAAAAGTTATGGATGTAGTACAAGGGACAGAACGTTGATTTAGAGTTCCGCTTTTGACTAGCACTGTGACCTTAGACAGACACCCATATTTGTTAGTCTGCTTTTTATCATCTCTAAAATGGGGAGACAATGCTTGCTTTTTCTAACTGTGACTATCTGAGGTTTGAATGAGATCCCAAACCTAGCAAGGAGTCTCGACCATACATTTTTTTTTGCCGGCTAATGAGCTGTCCATGTGAACTCTAGTAAATGTGGATGACGTGTCTTCCTCACCTTTTATAGATAACGTTGCATCTCTGTGCATCCCAGTTGATGAGCCATAAATTTCCCTCCCCTTGTTTACGGACAAACCTCTGGAGTTCTGTGTAATGTGTGTGGGTCAGGCGTTGCGAGTTTAAATAGAAAGCAGGGAAAAGAACAGAAGGAAAGAGTGGGAGAGGCATTTTTACAACTTACAGACTAGCATTTTTATTTTTAATTTTTATTTTTTACTACAAAACAAGTCACTGTTGGCTGGGATGGGAGAAATGGGCCCTTTATACACTGTTGGTGGGAGTGTTCATTGGTCTACACTTTTGGAGAGCTCGTTATCAAATTAAAGACCAACATATCAATCCCATTTGTACTAGATAATAAAAAATTAAAAAGTGTAAACTCATATTTAAACCAAGATTTAGTAGAGAAAAAGGTATGAGAAGATAGACAACAGATAGTTAACTGTGGCTAACCCTGGGAGAAGTTCCACTTCTTACTTTATATTCTTCTGCCCAGTTTGAACTTGCAGACAAGCATTTATTATTATTATTTTTTGCAAAAAGACAAAAGAAGCCCGGAGCAGAGCCCAGTGGATGTGCGCAGATCAGCTGTGCTCCGGTGTCCTTACTCCCTGGCCCACAGTCCCAGGAGGGCGCTGACCCCTGCGGGCAGGCCCTCCGCGTGCTGTTTTGCAGCCCATTACCAGCTGCTTAAGCAGCAGGTTCCCGGTGGCTGGTCAGCTGGAACCGGCTCCTGGAAGACAAACAGGAAGGACGCAGCTGTCAGTGCCCTCACTGACAGGAAAATAATTTAAATCTTAAAACATTGAGGAAAACTTCCTGCCTCTGCCTGGAGACGGGAGTGAGCCAGACAGAGGAGGCCCTGAAGGAAGCCTTGCATGTGCGGGTATGACCAGCTTCCAGCCTCGGGTCCTCCGCACGTAGTGAGGCTGCGGGTCCACAGGTGAAGTCTCACTGGGTCCTGATCCCTGAGGTTTAACTGGAGATCTCTCCTCTTATGCAAGACCAGAGGCCCGGTGCAGCTCTCTGCTCTTATGCAAGAGGCCTGCAGGACCTCAGGGCAAAGAGAGATTAGGGGAGGCAATACAATAGCGTAAGACTCAGGTAGGTGGACAGCAGATCCTTGCTCTGACACTTTCTAACTGGGTGGCCTTAGGCAAATTATTTCACCTCTCTGAACCTACATTTCCTTACCTATAAGATAGGGAAAACCAGCGGACTTGTATTATAGGGTTGGAGGTGCTGCTACCTCTAAAGGGCTTAGCTCTCTCTGCCTGATATAGAAGATACTCAATTAATGGCAGTTATGTTTGCTTGGAGCCTCATTTCCTACCACTCCCCTCAGTGGCTGTGATTAAGAATTTGGGCTCTGTTATTTATTACAAGTGTGACTTTGGACGGACCCCTTTGGGCCTCAGGTTTCTCATGGGCAATATGAGCGTAAGGATTCCCATCTCATGGCCCTTGTGAAGATTAACGGAGATGGGCACATATAACAGTGAAATGCCTGGAACACAGGCTGTTAGAATTTGCTGATGAAATATTAGCATGTTTCCTATAAAAAATACAAGTTTCATAAAACCATCTTCCAAATCCCTGCCTGCCCTGGCCCCAGACTCTCAGAAAACGAGCTGCTGGTTCCAGTCTGAAGGTGTCTTGAGCTCCTGTGTTTCAGGATGTTCCGGTCTCAACCGCTTCCTTCTCACTCCTCCGGCTTCTCTTTCCCTCCCTGCCAGGAGGCCTCTCATTAGTCCAATTAATAAACCGCTACTGTCATCTCCGTTTGGTCCCAAGAGCAGGGTCCCTTGGGGATGTGCATTATGCTGGGGAAGTGAGGTGGGGGAGCTGCAGGGACACCCTCATTTCCACTGGGGAGTGGAACCAGGAACCAGGATTGGCAGCAGATGGGCCTCCCTGGGGGCGGGCGGGGTCTCCTGGGACATCATCAGGATAATCAGTGAGAGCTTCATCATTCAGAATGAGAGTCTGGCAGAGCACCAGGGTCCCTTTCAGGGACCGGAAGGTTCTGCCCCGGAGATAATGACAACCCTGAGGCCTCTGGCCTTCAGCTCTCTCTTGGGCAGGCGCATACACACATGTGCATGTGCCGGCATGTGCGCCAGCTCCCTGGGCTTTCACTCAGCTAGAGAGTTTGTGGGTACATTCCAGGCCTGGAAGGTGGCAAACAGGGTGAGCTTGGAGGGCCCAGAAATGCACGCACGACTGCTCCTGCTGATGCTGAGAATATCAAACCCCGAGGTTCCCAAGGAGCTATAAACCGTCACAATGCCTCATCCAGAGTGCCAGCTCGTCTCTCCCAGTCTTAGAAGGATAAAGGATAATGGGACTAACAAGTTAGCTCAGAAGCTCAGGCCGCCCAGGGACAGGCTGGTTTGTTTGGTGCACAATGGAGTCAGCATTTTCAACCCCAAAACGAGATTACGCTGAGGCTGGGGAGAGAGCCAGGTGTGTGTGTGTGTGTGTGTGTGTGTGTGTGTGTGTGTGTGTGTGAGAGAGAGAGAGAGAGAGAGAGAGAGAGAGAGGTGTGTCATGCGGTCATGGTTTGTTGGGAAATCAGCCCAGTTATTCCCGCAATCAGTTACATTGTACATACCTGTTCAGGCTTATATTTAGGCAAAAGGGGGTTCATATCAACTTGTTCTGCTCACACCTGGCTCCTCCTTGCTGCACTGTCAGCACTCCTGTTCACGACCTAGATTTATGAGCTCCAATGCTGGCCTCATTCCCAGGTGAATGTGGGTTGTGTGCCTTTATCTCATTGATTTGTAGGCTTTTTTTTTTTTTCAAATTCTGGGTAATTTGTTGGTTATGTACATTGCAAATATCTTTTTGTGGTGTCTTTTGTGAGTGAAATTTTATTTTAATCTGTTCAAATTTATCCTTTTCTTTTATGGTTAATGATTTTTTTTTCTCTTTTCAGATATCCTTTGCTACTCCAAAGTGAAAAAGATAGTCTTTACTATTCTCCTCTAAAAGCTGCATGGTTTTGCCTCTCATGTTTAGGTCTTGAATTGATTTTTGAATGTGATGTGAGAAAGGATCCAGTTTCATTTCTTTCCATATGATTATCTAATGATCTCAGCCCCATTTATTGAAAAGCCTGTCCTTTCTCCCCTGCTCTGAAGTTCCACCTGCACCATAAATCAGATGTCCCATGAAGTCTCTGATATGCACCCAAAGTCTATTAAACTTACGCTCTGGTGACACTACACTCTTTAATTATTCCACGTTTTAAAAATTCTTGTGGCACACGGGTTGAAAACCGCTGCTGTAGCAGATAAACTCCAAGTCGGGACTTCCAACTCCCAGCGCTCGGGCGCTCCTTGCTCCCTCTTAAGGAGCAACTGCGCCCTCCTGCGGAGGAACGGTGGGGAACCACCGAAGGGCGCCCCACAGTGCCAGACACCTAACGTCCTCCTTAAGGACCTCCTGGTTTCCGGCCCCGCCCCCTCCACGGAGTCCCGCCCCCTCCACGGAGTCCCGCCTCCGACGCGATCCCGTCCTCTGGCACCGATTGGTCGACTCCTGTGCGTGAAGACGTTGCGTCGCGGGGCGGGGCGGGGGGGGGGAGCGTTGTCTGTAGGGCTGTTGCCGTGTGTCCTGGGTCGCCGCCCCCGCTGCCTCGCAGTGTCCGCCCCTCGCCTGCCTAGAGGATACGGGCGACAGCAGGGCTCGGGGTGGTCGTGCAGCCGACAAACGTCTCCGCGAAGCCGTCCTTTCCAGCTGGCGGCTCTTCTCGGCCGAGTCCGGGTCGGGGAGGAAAATGGCGCCGGCGCCCCGAGGCGTCCGGGAGGCGCCGCTGCTGCAGTGTCGGTGCGGACCCATTTGCCGGCTCCTTCTCCTCGCCCAGGCCTTCCTCCTGCTGCCGGCCGCCCGGGCGGGCCTCTGCCCCGCGCCCTGCTCCTGCCGCAGCCCTCTGCTGGACTGCAGTCGCAGGAAACTGCCGGCGCCGAGCTGGAGGGCGCTGTCGAGCCCCCTGCCCCCCGACGCCGCCAGCCTGTGAGTAGAGCGGCCGAACGGGGGTGGGGGCGTCTCAGGAGAGGGGCGCTCCCCTTCCAAGGTGGGGACAGGCTTGGTCGGAGGGCGCGGTCGGGAGCCCAGGTTCTGAAGAGAAACGCCGTTAGGATGCTGTGAACTTTGGCGACGGGGCTCCGAAACCTGCAGCTGAGGTTCTGGAGACTCATGGAGACCCGCGTTAAGGTTCCCGGGGCCCGGGAGGCTGTGGGCCCCGAGTGGGTGGAGCTGGGGCGGGGGTATTAGGGCTCCACGGGCCTGGGCACCGGCATTGACTGTGGACGCGGGGGGCGGGGGGCCCTCGCCCACTTCGGGCTGCCTCATCCAGTGTGTGCTCAGCTCGGATGGTCCCGGGCGTGTGGGTTTTAAAACACGGCCGCCGAAGACCCCAGCTGCCTTTTGTCCCTAGTTCGCATTTTGGCTCCTTCTGTGCTGCAGTTTTGATACGTTACAAGGTTAAAACTAAATGTGTTCGGAGAGCCAGTCCTACCCCGAACAGATACCTTTATTAGTAGCATTCGTGGTCTCTTTTAGAAAAGGAGTATTCTTTCCAAAATCATGTTGTGTTTTAATTGTTTTCAGGTGCATTTCTCGTGGCAGAGAATCTAAAAAGCAGCCCTCTGTTTATGTATGAGAAGCAAGTGCAGTGATTGGTTGAATTCTTGCGGAGACTCCCTGCCTGCGCTCCTTTTGACAGGCCTGTGTAGTGGCACTGACTGGGGAGCTCATGGGTCCGAGTCAGCCTGGGGCATTAGGAGCCACAGTCGCTACTAAATGCTGAAACGATGGGCCTTCTTAACCTCCAGCGTACAGTTATTTCTCTGCCACTAACTGAGTCATTCATTTATTAATTGGCGGACTTCCGGTACAGCTGTCTCCAAAAAAGAGTCACAAGAAAGAATAGCTTGAGGTGCAATTAAAATGTGAGGGTCTGTTTGGATTTTCAGTGGAAAGTAGTGTGCAAATTGAAGGTCTCTCTCTGCCACAGAGGTTATTTACACATTTGCAAATAGGTTAGGATAGATGGGAAAGACAGCTACCTCATAAATTCCTTGAGAAAATGAAGTAATTTAAAAAACCAAATGCTGTAATAGCATAGGTGTGCAATATAATAAAATGCTTTATGTTGCTTTAAGATGTGACACCGGTAGCTAGTTTGGTTCTCTTGATGCAAATAAAATTTAAACATTTATATCAATGTTCAGCATAGTCTTTTTAAACCCAGCACAGCATCGTTGTAATGCAGCAAGTGCCTTTTTCTAAAAAATTCTTGGAACAGCTAACTGATTATGATAGAATAAATTTGGTGCAGGTTTCAAAACAACACAACTTCATTCAGCTGTAATTGAAATAAATATGCCCCACTTTTTAAGATGAGCCATTGGTAGGTAAACAATAATTAGAAATAGTTTTATGTAAGAACATGTATTTTGTGTCTAGGTATGATTTTTGTTTAATTGAGATAAATTTCCTAAAGCCAGATGACATTCAAAATTTTTAAATGTTCTAGAATGAAATTGACATTTTTCAGTTGAAGTGAAATGCCTTGGAGAGCAATTTTGTTGTAGAAATGTAATTGGAGGGAAGTCTTACAAAAGCAGAACAACTCTTAACATTTTAAAAGGTGGGCTTGTGCTGTTTTAAACTGAGAAACGTAACAGTCTTCGTAAGTTGCCTTCAGCTATAAAATCACCCGATACACATAGGTTTCTTTATGTAATTTTCAAACACATGCAGTGCTTAAATATATTAGTGATTCAAACTCCAATGCTCAAATTTGTGGCCATTATCAAAAAGATCGTGGACAAAATTTATTAATCCTGGTTTTTGAAATATGTCTGCCCCTGGTTCCTGGCACAGAGCTCCTGAAACCCTTGTAATTTCCTAAGCGACAAGAGTACTAGAAGCTTCTTTCTTTTTAATATTTGGTCTTTGAACTTGTTTTCTGACACAAGGCTCTTAAATCCTTTGGAATTTCCTGGGTGATAGGAGTGTCTTTTGATCTAAAGAGACACCTCTTGGTTGGCTCCTGGATAGGTAGCTTCAGGATGGGGTCTGGTCATCAGAAAGACCGATCTGTCATAAGCAGCTTGGGACTTTCAGCCCCTCTCCCCTTCATCCTGGAAGGGGAAAAGGGTTGGAGATTGAGTTCATAGTTGAATGTGCCTATGTGATGAAGTCGCCATAAAAATCCCCAAATCTCGCCCTTGCCGGCTTGGCTCAGTGGATGGAGTGTCAGCCTGCGGACTGAAGGGTACCAGGTTCGATTCCAGCCAAGGGCACATGCCTGGGTTTCGGACTCGATCCCCAGTAGGGGGCGTGCAGGAGGCAGCCAATCAATGATTCTTTCTCATCATTGATGTTTGTATCTCTCCTTCTCCCTTCCTCTCGGAAATCAATAAAGAAATATATATATTTTTAAAATCCCCAAATCTCTGGGGTTGGTGAACAGATCTATGTGCCAGGAGGGTGGTGCACCCCACCTCCACAGGGACAGGAGCTCCTTTACTGGACCCTTATAGGTCTCACCCTATGTATCTCTTCACCTGCCGTTTGTGTCCTTTGTCGTATCTTTTATTATATAATAAACCAGTAAATGTAAGTGTTTCTCTCAGTTCTGTGAGCTGTGCAGGTGATGGAATCTAATGTCGGGGTCATGGGAATTCTGGGTAACATGGGGTCTTACTACCTGTGATTAGTGCCTGAACTGGGGGTGCAGTCTTGTGGGACTGAGCCTTTACTCAGTGAGGTCTGCACTAACTGTAGTTAGTGTTGGAATTGCATTGAATTTCAGGACACCTGGTGTGTTGGAGAAATGATTGGTGTGGGGAAGAGAAAAAACTCTCACATCTGGCATCAGAAGTATTATGTGTGTGAGTAAAGGAAGAAACAGGTGATAAACATTTTTTGCTTGATCAAAGTTTAGCCAGGTTCCCGAACCTTCTCCTTGGCCATCTATGCATGTCCTTGTAAAATGCAATTTTAGCAAGAACCCTGCCATGTCAGTTTAGCAAGAAGCCCCTATCCTCGATATTGGATTGGCGTCCTTCCCTATACCATGTCCCAGGTGATGTCTGATCACTCTGACCTTTTTATTTATTTTTTATTTTTTAGCAAGAATCCTGTTAGGTCTGTTTAGTTAAAGCCTTCTTACCCCTGATGTTTTCTCTTAGTATTTTTTATCCACTGACCCAACTCTGCTCCTTAGCTTTAAATTCCCATATACACAGGCAGCATTCGGCATTGAGCCCAGTCTCTTACCTACATTAAAAAATTTCATTGCAGTGGTCCCTATGCCTAGCTCCCCATTCCCCAAGGTCTTTCTTACCATGCGTTAACAAGTATCATTGAATATTATTTTCCTTTTAACAGTTATGTGCCACAACACCCATAGGATCAGATTCATCATTGGACCCCCGGACCTCTCACCCAGGACCCTAAAAGTGCATACCTTTGAAGCCTTTATCTTCCTCCTGACTGATGGATCGGGGATCCATTGGTGAGTCCGACTCCTGAACCATTGCTCCGGACAAACGTCCGTGGAAGCTGGTAAGGACAGATTGGATTCTTAGATTCTGTGTATACTCCAGAACAGCGGCCGCCAACCGGTGGTCTGCGGACCACTGGTGGTCCATGAGGTCCGAAAGGTTGGCAACCGCTGCTCCAGATGATGGGATGGAGTCCTAGATAAACACAGGCTGGGTTAGAGTCCCAAGCAAGCAGCTGTTTGAAAAAAGATGGGTTAGAGTCCTAGGCTTCTTTGTTTGAAAAGTAACAACTGGGCTGGGAGACTCTTCTCCCTGGCTCTCTCTCTGGTTGAACCCCTGTTCCACCAACTCTGTCTACCTCCATTTTTGTTGGCATGCTTTTGCTGAGAATAATATGAAACTTCATTGGCCTCTTGGGGAAACTTGCCATCTCAAGCTGGCTCCTCTAAGACCTCTCCCTTCCCATTGTAGAAGCTGTTCCTTTCTCCTCATACCACCTTCAGTCTTCCCTCCAGTTCCCTTGAGTCCTCCCTTCAGACCCTTTCTCCTCCATCCCTCTGTCCACCAGACCAGACCTTTTTCCCTGCCCATCTCTATTGTCACTTAAAGTTGGGGCTCCTTGCCCTCCACTGGGGGCTGTCTAGGGACTTAGGGACCTTCAGAAGGCTGAAAAACCTGGAATAGACTGGATGTTTTGGTTAGTTAGATGGGCTTGGAGACATCCAGACAACTGTGCTAGATATCTCCTTGGTCACTCACCTAAAATTTGGTCCACAGCTTTCATTAGATTACATAACAGGGCACCACTTTGAATAAGGTCTTCCTTACTGGGTTTTAACAAATGATATTTTTTTCTTTTAACATGGAATTTTTCCTGGACATTTGGTGTCACATAAGTGAGATTTGCTAGAATAACCCTGGCTCATGGAAATGTAGTTTGGGGGGAAAAAAAGGATAAAAGAGTGGGGAATGTGGGACCTTTGATTCCTCGGTGGCCATTTGGTTGCCCATGGTATGGAGCAGTAGCTGTGCTGCTCTTAGGTACTAAAGATAAAAGTCACCAATGGAGATTAGAGATGGATCCAATTACCAGGACATTGGTTCAATCCCTTGGCTATTATCTGTAATAGCTAAAATGAAACTAAAAGAGTGTGCTGAGTCAGACCTTGATCCTAGACCAAACTCAAATTTCAGTGAGTCTGAGCTTTGGCCACTAACCCCAAGGGAAAAATTAGGTAAGGACAACAGAAAGTACCTCTAGACTTTTGGTCACTAAGAAGGCACTTGGTGTGAGGTAAGGGCAAAACCAAGAAACTATTTGAAACCAGGGAGTATAGTGTGAAGAAGATGTTTCATATTGTGGATCAGTAATAGCTTTCTGAAGAACATCCTTTAGTAAGATGTTCTGTGAGAGTAATTAATTTAGGAGCAGTATCTGGTTTTAAATGCCACAATAGGGGAAGAGCATGTTTGGGTTGATGCAGGATTTATAGTTCG